AGGTCCAGCTATCGTGAAAGTTATCCAAGGGGGTGGAGTGAAGGGGAAACTGAGAAGTCATAGAAGATGGAAAGAAATGTGTGGGTGGAGTTTGGAGGGGCATGGAAAAGAGTTCTGAATGTGCTGCAGTGGAGGTCGAACACTGATCTGCTCAGTCTGCAGCACTATTAAGGACTTCAGCATCTGCGTTTGCTCCTCCATTACTTTAAGCATCTGCTCAGTTGTGTCCTTAATAAATGGGTGATTCTCTTTTCTGTCCTGCCATTCGGCTTCCCGGCACTCCTTGCATTCCCTTTTTTCTGCATTGGAGCACTGCAGGACCTCCCGGAACAGGTCTTCTTTGCTGTGTCTTGGGTGCTTTCTGATCTGGTGGAGACGCTCAGCTGGAGTGCGTGGGGTGTTCCTCAAGGCCACATCTGGTGAAGCATAGGGGACAATGCACAGAAGCAGGATTAAGTTCATGCACAGCACTGAAACATTTCAGTTAAATGCACCTTTTGTAACATTGCCATCACTTTCTCACTGACCCTAGCTAGGCACACATCTCTGCAAACACCCAAAGCATGGTGAGTGTTGGCAGGGGGGAGGGGGCACTCCACATGGGGAAAAAAGCACACACTCTTTGCAAGGGTCATGGTGCTGCATTCTAGGGAACAAATTCTAAAATACTCCCACATTTTTCCACAGGCGGGGGTAATGCTAGCAGACATCTCACTGCTAAGGGTAAGCAGGGAAATGAGGGCACATCTACTCCATGCTTGTGGCTTCCACCCTGCTCCCTATTCTGCTCGCCTATGTGCCACTTTGGTCCCTGCACAAGTGATTGCCAAATGGCGCAGGAAAGTTTCCTACAATGGGGGAAGGAACAAAGCTGTTCTGCCATGGAACCTTCGGCAGAAGATTGTCGAGTACCTCCCGGAAACTTTCCTGGAGATCTCTTGGAGGATTCCCGTGAGATCTCGGTGTGCATCAACACCCTGTTCCGCCGTACCGATTAGCTACACAGGGAAACGTCCACCTCACAGAAACACAACCAGCCTCCCACATTTCTATGCCCTGAACCCACCTCCGCACTACACAAGCCACAGCCACTTACCAGATGGTCTCATCTCCTGCTGCTTGTTCAATGAAGAGCAATTGCTGAGACTGGCTAGACACTACTGGAGTGGAGAACAGTTCCTGGCCGCCTGCCCCACCGAGCAACCCCGCTGGGAGCTGCACATCCTCATCTAACTCCACCTCTTCATCAATAACTTCATCCTCCGGGTTATGTCCTCTTTCCGCTGCCTCTGTGCCCTCCGAAGTATCCACGGGGATCTTGGCGATGGAGGTGGGGTAGCCACCGAGGATAGCATCCAGTTCCTTATAGAATCGGCAGGTCGTAGGTGAAGCACTTGAGCGACAGTTTGCCTCCCTGGTCTTATGGTACGCCTTCCTCAGCTCCTTTGTCTTCGCTCTGCACTGCAGCGTATCCTGATCACAGCCCTTTTTGCACAAGCCTCGAGAAATCTGCCCGTAGGTATCCCAATTCCTACAGCTCAAGCACAGCTGGGACTGCACAGCCTCCTCTCCCCATATACTGAGCAGATCCAGCAGCTCTGCAGTGGTCCAAGCGGGAGAGCGTTTGCTGCGATAACCCGCCATGGTCACCTGGGAAGTCTCCACGCCGAGCAAACAGGAAATGGAATTTCAAAAATTTCCGTGGCTTCTAAGGGGGAGGGGCGGATGGTTGTTTCCCTGGCTGCAGGGCAGTGGAGTTCAAACTGCTGACCAGAGTGGTCAGGATAGGCATTGTGGGACACCTCCTGGAGGCCAATTCAAGCGATGAAATCAAGTGTGGTGTCTACACTTGCACTTTGTCGACAAAAATGTAGAGGAAAAAGATGTAAATCTCTTGTGAGGGTGGATGTATTTTGTTGCCAAAACTGGGCATTTTTCCCAACAAAAGTCACCTCGCAGTGTGTACGCACTCACTGTTTGGGTTGACAAATGACAGTTTTGGCGACAAAACTTGATAGTGTGGACAAGGCCTGGTGCTACATCCACAGCTCTCAGCTCTGCCCTGAGAAGTGCACAGGAGCCGCCCAGCGTGAGCTTTGCCTGCAGGAGCCTCAGGGCAATGGTGCTGGCCGGAGTGCAGTGAGGGAGGGTTGGAGCATGGGAGCCCAACGCTGGAGTTGTGGGTGGAGATTAAGAGAGTGCCGCCCAGGACGGAGGGCGCTGTGAGGATCACAGGAGAGGAGGGGAGCTGGGGCTACGCTATGGATATGTTTATGCAGTGCTCAGCGCAGAGGGACCCTGGCCACTCCCAGCATATAAATAGTGACAGGAATGGAGGCTAATTTCCTGCATCCTTTGCTCTGGCTTCCTCCTCACCACAGGTGAGACGCCCAGCCAGGGACCTTTTCCCAACCATTCTGCTGTCCCTGCCACACCCCAGTTGCCGCAGACGTGGCCAGGGGACAGGGCAGGCTCCCCAGCGGGTGGCTGAGCAGGCAGCGGCAGAGATGCATTTCCTAGGCTCTGGGCTGGCTATGGTTGTCTTTGAAGCCTTCCACTATCACCTGGAGGCTACAACCACAGCAGAGAAGGAAATTGACGTGAGCAGGCTGAGAGCTGTGGTGAACCCTCCTGCCACAGACAGCTCTGGTCACACAGTGCCTTGTCATGCTAAGCACGGAGCATGGTGAGGCTGCTGCGCGGTCCATGGAGCAGGCTCAGCAGTGAGTTAGGGGGCTTGGCTGTTCTGCAAAATTAGGACAAAAGTGTCTGAGCTGGGCTTATAGGGATCCCCAGAGCAGTGAATGCTGCAGAGGGGAGTCCAGACAGCTTTTCCTTCCCTGATCTGTACTGCTCCTGTCTGTGGCCCAGGCAGCAGGTGAGCATGAGGAACTCAGGGAGGAAGCACTGTGACATGATACAGCATCTCACCATGAACCCGACTGGAGGTCATTACCATTTACAGCACAGTGAAGGCCCTACATGTCTGAGCACTTGCCCAGGCTAGGCTCTAAGGACCTCCCCATGGGAGGGACGCTGCTACTTGCTGTTCCAGGCTCCCGCGCAGCCCTGTTGCCAGCACATCCAGCAAGGAGGTGTGGAATGTTATGCTCTGAGTGCGGCTGGAGAGGAATGGTGCCGGGGGCCTGTCCCCCTCTCTCAGAGGCACCCCAGTTCCTGGGGTAGATTCTGGGCCCCTACAGCCTCATCAACCCTTCTGGGGTGAGGGGACCCCACATGATTGCCCAGGGCCGGTGCTACCATTAAGGCAAACTAGGCAGTTGCCTAGGGCACCAAGATTTGGGGGCACCAAAAAGCAGTGCCCCCAATTTTTTTTTACAGCGTTCCTACGCCCCCTCCCCGAGCGCGCGGTCACCACTCCACTTCTCCCGCCTCCCAGGCTTGCAGCGCCAATCAGTTGTTTGACGCTGCAAGCCTGGGAGGGGAGAAGAATTAGAGCGGGGGCGGCATGCTCGGGGAGGAGGCGGAGCAGAGGTGAGCTGGGGTGGGGAGCTGCCGCACGGCTCCCCGGGCCAAGGGGGTGGGGAGCTGCCGCAGGGGTGCCTCAGGGCGGGGGGTGGGGGAGCTGCCGCAGGGCTCCCCACCCCAGCCCACCTCTGCTACCCCCCTCCCCGAGCACACCATCGCTGCTCCACTTCTTCCGCCTCCCAGGCTTGCGGCGCCAATCAGCTGTTTGGCACCGCAAGCCTGGGAGGGGAGAATTAGAGCGGGGGCGGTGTGCTCGGAGAGGAGGTGGAGCAGAAGTGAGCTGGGGTGGGGAGCTACCGCACAGTTCCCTGGGGGGGGAGCTGCTGCAGGGGGGCGCCTTAGGGTGGAGGGAGGGCGGGGAGCTGCCGCAGGGCGGGCGGGGGGACCGCAAGGTGGAAGTTTCGCTTAGGGCGCGAAACTTCCTTGCACGGGCCCTGTGACTGCCTCTGCTGCTCCCAAGCAGAAGGGCCCAGCTGTCCCTCTGGGCAGGAAAAGGGGGCCCCACACCGCAGTGCCTGCCTCTCTGGGCAGTGGTTGCTGAGCTCAGGCAAGCCCGGGGATGTGACTCACTCAAGCTCCCACAGGGATGCTGGGGCAGAGTGAGGGGCACAAGCTGGACGTGCTGACTTGCAGCCCCCTGCTCTAAGCCCTACCCCGCACTCCCCCTGCCAGGCCATGCACAGTGCAGACCCGGCGGGGCCCTGGCTGGGAGGAGAGTCTTGGGTATCCTTCCAGGGGAAGGTTGGGGGGCTGGTGAGTGGAGCTAGGGGGCCCAGAGGCAGATGGAGGGCTGGTGTATGTGCAACCCCAGACACACATCCCTCCCCTGCTACCAATCCCTCCCTTTGCAAGGGCCCCAGTCTTTACTCCAGAGTGGTTGCAGCTGGCCCTGGCAGGGGGCAGGTTGGCCTCTATTCCAGGGCACTCGGAGCTTGGCCTTGGCTAGACAGCAAGGCGCAGCGCAAGCCAAGGAGACACAGTGTGGAGACAGTCTGGTTTGGACAGGCCGAGATGCCAGGACCTCTGCTAAGCCAATGCACCCAGTTCCTCATCTCAGGGCTCACAGACCAAAACCCCTCCAAGCAGAGCAGCAGCGTCAGCACAGAAAGGCCCAAGCACCCGGAGTGCTGGAACAATTTTTATAGCAGGGGAGGCGAAAGCCCTTGAACAAACCTGTAAATGCCGGCTAGGATGGACGCCGGGCGTTCAGTGGTTTGGTCCAGTGGCCCTGCTGTGGGCTATGAATTTTGGCACGTGAGGCCATGGCAGGGGGGGAAATACTGTTTGGTGGGGATAATGCACGGGAGCCTGCAGAGAAGGGGTGGAAGTCCTGGCACTGAGGCAGCCAGGGCTTTGTAAGAGGCTTGGAGCACTGCCAGCAGTATCCGCCTCTGCCTGGGGAAGGAAGTTATTTCAGTCAAAAGCAGAAGTGAAAGACACAGTGCAGTCCAGAGTGCCCTCTCTCCCCTTACACTCAGATCCCAGCAGAACCACAGGGAGGGTGCAGAGCCATGGAGCCCCTCTCTTTCCAGGAGTATATCTTATCCCTGGACATTGCATCCCTGCCCAGGGTGCTGAAGGTTTGTTCCGGGGTGTACTTCCAAGGTGAGTACCTGCCTGCTTCCTGACCACAGCCAGGATGTCTCTGCTGCTGGTGCCAGTGGAGTGGGGCCTAGAGACCCGTATCTGCAAAGCCTTGAACTCCTTCAGGAGCCGAGGAAGCAGGGTGTTGCCTGTAGTCACTGCAGGACAGGGCTCTCTCCATCCCATCCCAGCCTCACCTCATTCTGTGCTAGCAGCATAGAGTGCTTCGATAGCAACCACTCTGCGCCACCTCCGCACACCAGCAGGAGATACTGTGGTGACAACATCCGGCAATGGGGAAGGGTCCTTCTGCCAAGCCAGGGCAGGGAGCCTTCACTTGTATCCAAGCAGCTTGTGGAGTGGGCTGTGATCTGACCATTGCAATTCACTGAAACCCCATGCACTCCCCCCGCCAAAGCCTGTCTGTTGGAGTGACACTGGCTCTCTTCTGCCCAAAGGGACATTAATACAATCTGAACAATGACAAACACAACCCCTCCCCAATCAGAGTTTTTATCCCGTAATGGAAGAAGGGCAGAGACTGCATGAAGGAAATGTGCTGTTGCTATTGATTTTACGAGGGTCTCAGCTACTGCACAATGGGCAGCAGGACGAGACCATTCATTGGCCTCTGGCTCCAAAGTCCCTATAACCCACAAGGGCCCAGACCTGCCCGCTGAGCTGGAGCTGTTGATTCTCGGTGGAACACTTCCCGGAGGCAGATGTCAAATTGGAGAGAGAGACCAGCTAGCACCAAGGCAGGCAATGTTAAGATGGAGTTAAGAATATGTAACAGCATGAAAACATGCAGCGCACTCTGCCCTGTAGTGACAGCACATGGGTTTTATGGTGTTGATTAAGCTTAAGATTTATTATATTTAAGTCATTGTAGGGTTGTGGGCCCAGATTAGATAAAACTGATTTTTAAAGGCACATCTAATTTTTTCTTTCTCTGTGTGTGCATGCATGAGTGTTTGTGCATACATGTGTGTGTGTGTGTGTGTGCGCGCGTGCCTGTGCCAGCCCGCACATCTCCCTACAGGGCAAAATTAAGGTTGTTTGCGTACCCTAGCTGTGCATTTCCATATTTTAGCATGTTTAAATTTTGTTTCAGTTTAACACTAACTTTGAATTGTCTGGGTTTATAATGGTTGGTTGGGATAATTACCCCCTCCCTGGAATGTGTTTTACCCTAAATTACTGACATGTCCTCTCAGCTTTAACTTCATTGGAAGAATTTCCTTGTTTTTTACATTAAAAATGTCATCCATGGTCACTGCAGTATTGTTGTAGCCGTGTTGGTCCCAGGCTATCAGAGAGACAAGCTTCATTCGGAATTAGAGGTTGGTTCAATAGAAGATATTATCTCACCCTCCTTGTCTATCCTTGTCTATCCATGACCGCTAACAACAAACCCAATGAGGATGTTGATGGGTGATGATCTGAAGAGCTGTAGAGTCAACACAGAAACGGCTGGTCTAGTTCAGTCTCCTGTCCCCAGCAGTGGCCAGCACCTTCAGAAGAATCATAGAATCATAGAAGATTAGGGTTGGAAGAGACCTCAGGAGGTCATCTAGTCCAACCCCCTGCTCAAAGTAGGACCAACACCAACTAAATCATCCCAGCCAGGGCTTTGTCAAGCAGGGCCTTAAAAACCTCTAAGGATGGAGATTCCGCGACCTCCAGATGATACTAAACTGCTCAAGATAGTTAAGACCAAAGCAGATTGTGAAGAACTTCAAAAAGATCTCACAAAACTGAGTGATTGGGCAACAAAATGGCAAATGAAATTTAATGTGGATAAATGTAAAGTAATGCACATTGGAAGAAATAATCCCAACTATACATGCAATATGATGGGGGCTAATTTAGCTACAACAAATCAGGAAAAAGATCTTGGAGTCATCGTGGATAGTTCGCTGAAGACGTCCACGCAGTGTGCAGCGGCAGTCAAAAAAGCAAACAGGATGTTAGGAATCATTAAAAAGGGGATAGAAAATAAGACGGAGAGTATCTTATTGCCCTTATATAAATCCATGGTACTCCCACATCTTGAATACTGCGTACAGATGTGGTCTCCTCATCTCAAAAAAGATATACTGGCACTAGAAAAGGTTCAGAGAAGGGCAACTAAAATGATTAGGGGTTTGGAACGGGTCCCATATGAGGAGAGATTACAGAGGCTAGGACTTTTCAGCTTGGAAAAGAGGAGACTAAGGGGGGGATATGATAGAGGTATATAAAATCATGAGTGATATATAGAAAGTAAATAAGGAAAAGTTATTTACTTGTTCCCATAATACAAGAACTAGGGGCCACCAAATGAAATTAATGGGTATCAGGTTTAAAACAAATAAAAGGAAGTTCTTCACACAGCGCACAGTCAACTCTTGGAACTCCTTGCCTGAGGAGGTTGTGAAGGCTAGGACTATAACAGCATTTAAAAGAGAACTGGATAAATTCATGGAGGTTAAGTCCGTTAATGGCTATTAGCCAAGATAGGTAAGGAAGGGTGTCCCTAGCCTCTGTTTGTCAGAGGGTGGAGATGGGTGGCAGGAGAGAGATCACTTGATCATCGCCTGTTGGGTTCGCTCTCTCTGGGGCACCTGGCATTGGCCACTGTCAGTAGACAGGATACTGGGCGAGATGGACCTTTGGTCTGACCCATTACAGGCATTCTTATGTTCTTATGTTCTCCCTAGGTAACCCATTCCACTGCTTCACCATCCTCCTAGTGAAATAGTTTTTCCTAATATCCAACCTAGACCTCCCCCACTGCAACTTGAGACCATTGCTCCTTATTCTGTCATCTGCCATCACTAAGAACAGCTGAGCTCCATCATCTTTGGAACCCCCCTTCAGGTAGTTGAAGGCTGCTATCAAATCACCCCTCACTCTTCTCTTCTGCAGACTAAACAAGCCCAGTTTCCTCATCCTCTCCTCGTAAGTCATGTGCTCCAGCCCCCTGATGATTTTTGTTGCCCTCCGCTGGACTATCTCCAATTTGTCCACATCCTTTCTGTAGTGAGGGCCCCAAAACTGGACACAATACTCCGGTGTGGTCTCACCAGTGCCGAATAGAGGGGAATAATCACTTCCCTCGATCTGCTGGTCAATGGTCCTACTAATTCAGCCCAATATGCCGTTAGCCTTCTTGGCAACAAAGGCACACTGCTGACTCATATCCAGCTTCTCATCCACTGTAATCTCTGTCGTCAGACGTCACCAGTGTGGTGCTCTGCTCTGTTCAATGTTGATAACAGTCGTCTGCGTGTGTTCCTCCTGTATGCCGCCCTGGCTCTGCACAGATCACTGACACAGCAGATCCCGAGAAAACCACCAGTGACCACAGACTCTGATAAGGTACGAAGGCACCCGGCCAGGTTTATTGTCAAACGAAGCACAGTAATAGTTCCCCGCAGACTCTACAGGACATACTACGAATATGTGTCCCCAGCAATGGACCGGCTAAGTCAATGGCGGGGTTCTCCACTGCCCCCTAGGCCGGACAAAGACATCCACTCAGGGATGTAGTCTTATACACAGGTACAAACAAGTTATACATCACTCCTGACGCATCGAGGAACAACCCCTCTGCATGTTGGGGTGCTGCCTCTCTCCTGGTACATATTGGTTCGAACAATCAAGTCTATCCATCATATTAACCTTTTGACCCTATCTTTTAGGATGGGTCAACTTGTTCCTCATTATCTCTGTGGAATATGTTCGTACTGAACTTTTCTGGTGCCATCCTGGCCCATGTTTATCCTATTAGTGCTTGATACCCTTTAGATATGTGTATACATCCAATTAACAGCCTTCTTCTTGCCAGCTTCTGTGAGCAGGGCCTGCCTCTGGATCACAACTTAACTTTGCTTTATGTTAGCAAAGTCTTGTCCATTACTTTAGTTCAGGCCTTAGGCCTCAGACCGGGCCTCTGATACCAAGGATTTATGTTTCAGGGCCTCATCTTACTACATTCCCCCACTTTTTGTCTTTTTATGGGGGGGATGTTTACCCATCGTCCCAGAAAAGCATAATGCATGGACTAAAGATAACCCAGTGGCCTAAACACTGTTATGTGGTTACCTTATTTTACCATCCATACACTCATGCCCCACCTGTCTTTAGTCTGCACATTCCCTCGTACGACTGATGGACAGATTTTATTATCCAATTATTTTTAGTCCCTTATGGTGGGCCTCGGAATGTCAGGGCCATGATTGAGGAATGTAGTTTTATGACTGAGCCTTAGAGGTACTCCCAAATAATTAATATATATGAATAATATGGATATGGAGTATATCTTTGTAGCGTATATGGGTATATATGTATAGTATGAATGTGTGCATATGACACCACCTTATATCCAAGCATAACCATGTTTTTCCAATCTGGTGTTGTACTCTGGCCCTTTTACTTTGGTGACACAGATAGAAACACACTCCTATTAGGAAAAAGAACAGGAGTACTTGTGGCACCTTAGAGACTAACAAATTTATTTCAGCATAAGCTTTCGTGGGCTACCCCTCACTTCTTCAGATGCATAGAGTGGAACACACAGACAGAAGATATTTATGCATACAGAGAACATGAAAAGGTGGAAGTACGCATACCAATTGTAAGAGGCCAATCAATTGAGATGAGCTATCAGTAGCAGCAGAAGAAAAAACTTTGAAGTGATAATCCAGATGACCCATAGAAGGTGTGAGGAGAACTTAACATGGGGAAAAAAATTCAATTAGTGTAATGACCCAACCATTCCCAGTCTCTGTTTAGGCCTAAGTTAATTGTGTCTAATTTGCATATTAATTTGAGTTCAGCAGTCTCTCTTTGGAGTCTGTTTTTGACGTTTTTTTGTTGCAAAACTGACACCTTCCAGTCTGTCACTGAGTGATTAGAGAGGTTGAAGTGTTCTCCCACTGGTTTTTGAATGTTATGATTCCTGATGTCCGATTTGTGTCCATTTATTCTTTTGCGTAGAGGCTGTCCAGTTTGGCCAATGTACATGGCAGAGGGGC